CAGAAAACCCGCTTGGAGCCGTCCAAGGGCGCCATCGGGCTTTCAGGAGAGCGACCGGACGCGCCTTACCTTAGGGCGCGTGGTTTTCGAGCGCCCTCTTTGCGCCTGCCACGGTCGCCACTGGATTTCAGGGTGGCGACCGAACGCGCCTTACTAAAACCTCCCCTCTAGGATTTTGAGGGCGAGGTTTCCAGCGAATTGTTTGCGAACCCTTGGCCGTCTTTGGCATTCAGGGAGCAGCCAAATGCACCTTTCATAAAACCCCGCCCGGAGGATCCTTAGGGCGGGGTTTCCAGCGCGCCCTCTTGGCGCCTTCCACGGTCGTCTTTGACGCCCTCCGAGCTGGCCGTTCTCGTTGCCCCGTCGTTTCTACGGATCCTTGATGCTTCCCGTCTCCTTCCTCCAGCCTTCGCCGTCTAGGTGTCGCAGGGGTTGTGGCAACGCCGCTCCTGCCGCAGGGGTGGTGGCAACGCCGCTCCTATGTGATTGAGTATGCGGAATTTTTAAGCCCAAGGTTCCGTGGCAGATGCCAGGGCTGCTGCCATGACAGCGGCCGAGGCTCTGGCGCCCTTCACTCGGGCGTTCACCGTCCAGGGGCCATGCCTTGCGCTGGCCATGCTGCGAGGTCTCAAGCGTTACGAGTTTCGCGGCAGGGCCTGGTCTCCAGGCTGGTATTTCCTGCACTCAGGAGACCAGCCTGCCCCCACCTCGATCGCAGAGGTCTTGGAGGCAGAGTGGCCGTCGGCTCCGCGCGAGTCCACTTTGCGGTTCAGTGCCGTGTACGGTGCGGTGAGGTTGGGCCACGCCTTGCCGTCGGATGCGCTGCGCTCGCCTTGGGTTCGTTTCGGCAAGATGTCTTTGCCGATCGAAGGCGCCATCGAGTTTGCCGAGCCTCTGGCGCCAGTTCAAGGCCAGCAGAACAGTTGTTGCGTTGCTTTTGCAGGCCTTCGGAGCGGTCTTCTCGTCGCCGCGGCTAGGCGCAGCGTGAAGACCACTGTGAGTAGACCCCAGTGGGGTCTGGGAAGAAACTTTGAGAGCCGGTTGGGCCACTGTTGTCCCACTGCCGTTGTCTCACGTTGCCCTCCTCCGAGCGTAGGCTGCCTGAGAGCGCTGTGCGCTCGCCGGTCGTTAACGTAGCTATTTCTATATTCCCGATATCGCAATAGATTTTGACGCGTTCCTATTTCAAGAGTCGCTGGCATACCCCCTCCACCGACCAAGTCGAATCTCGTTCAACCGCCTTCCTGTTTCGATTTCCATGTTCTAGCTACCTCTTACGGCCAGCGTGTAGCCTGTGTGCTACTACGTAGTACTGTGCTTGCCGCTCTGCGCGCGGCGAACACTTTTGTCCGAGCAGGGATTGAGGAAGAACCGGACAGCGGTTGCTGCTGCCGCCGCCGATGCCGCAACGGTCTCCTGCAGCTCCCCACCGCGCCTTCTGGTCCCGCTCCTCCCCGTAGTCCTCTAGCTCCTCCCGGCGCTCCGACCCCCACGTCGAGTTATGCAATTACTTATGATACTCACGAGGCCATCTTGGACCGTTTTGGAATTATCCTTAGAAAAAACATTTGGACACCTCTCAAACCATTTCAGAGATTTCATGGGAGGCCCGATGTGCGTTTCCCAAGGGCTCGGCCGTAGGAGTTCCTTGCGGCGAAACTTCCAGACTCATGTTGGAGCTGCCTTCGGCCGTTTCAACATTTTCACGAGGGACCTCTAATGCCACACATGCGATGACTACAAACCCCGCACTAAGACTTCTCAGGGAGGTTCTTCATAAGTTTCCTCTTGGAACCTTCTGCGGGTGTCTCAAGGCCCCCGCGGAAATCAATTTCCCAAAAACCCGCCCTAAGGATCCTTACGGCGGGGCGTTCGAAATCTCACCTTGAAGCCCTCGTCGAGATCCCAGTTGTTTTTGCGAGAACCCACAAACCCATTACCCCAAAAGCAACTGACCTAAATTTTCTCAGGGCGGAATTTACAAGGAGCTCTCTTGAAACCCTCGTTGGCCGTCCCAGATGTTTCAAACGAATCCCCAAATCCGTGTCCCGAAAGCTCTGCCTTCAGAGACCTTAGAGCGAAGTTTACCAGGACGCCATTTTGGAGCCGTTGTCGGCTTGGCTGTATGAGATCTTTCTCGAGAGACTTCAAATCCATTTTTCAGAAACCCCGCCCTAAGGATCCTTAGGGCTGGGCTTTAAGAACTCACCGTGGAGCCTTCTTCGAGCGCTCCAGCCTCTTTCACGAGGGCCCACGCATCATTTTTCCAAAATCCCCCACCTGAAGATCCTTAGGGCGGGTTTTACCAGGACGCCATCTTGTCCAGGCCGCATCAGATCTTTCACGGGAACACACAACCCCGGTGTCCGAAAACCCCGCCTGATGAATCTGTTGAGTGACATCTACCAAGATGCCATCTTGAAGCCCTTTGTCGACCATCTCAGAACATTCACGAGAGACCCCAAATCAATTTCTCAAAAACCCGGCCCTAAGGATCCTTACGGCGGGGTTTTCAACATTTCACCTTGGCGCCGTTTTCATCTCCAGGAGGACAGCTTGAGACCCTTCGGCGTTCGAAAGCTTTCACGAGAGCCCCCCCCTCACATTCACTCCCCCCAAACCCCGCCCTATAGATCATAAGAGCGAGGCTACACCAGCCTCATCCTGTAGATCATCCCGCGTGTGCGGGGATGCGCCGCATTGCACACACTCGCCAGCCGACGTGCTAGCATAATGGTGTAATTGTGTAATGGTGTAAACCTTACACCTGTTTAAACAAGGGTGTAATGGCGTGATGGCGTGATGGCGTGTAACAAAATGGTGTAATGGCGTGATGGTGCCAATCCTACACCGTTCCACAAAAGGGTGTAGTGTAATGGTGTAGTGGTGTAGGCCGCACACCATTTTCCCGAATGGTGTAATGGTGTAATGGTGTATCGTGTGCACCTGTCCGCAAAGTGGTGTAATGGTGTAATGGTGTATGGTTACACCATCCCCCAAAAAGGTGTAATGGTGTAAGGGCGTATGGTTACACCATTCCTCGAAAAGGTGTAATGGTGTAAGGTGTAGGTTTCAGAATGCAGATCATGTTTGCCACCACGCTGGGCGTTGTCTCACGTCGCCCTCCTCTGAGTTTGGGGGAGGGGTTTTCCACAGAGCCTCCAGAGGCCGAGCAACCTCGCCAAAACAGGGGTGCGAACCCCCTGGGTGGCTTCTGGTGGAACATATCCTTTTCCTCCTCATCCTCCTCCTCCTCCTCCGCCTCATCCTCCTCCTCCTCCGCCTCCTCTTCCGCCTCCTCCTCCTCCGCCTCCTCTTCCTCCTCCCTCTCCTTTTCCTCCTCCCCCTCCTCCCCCTCCTCCCATTCCACCATTGTTGGAAGACATCCCCCCCCGAAAAGAACCTTTGGAACCCTCCAACTGCGCACTCCTTCCACCTCGAATTCGTAGCCGGTTCTCTCACTGCGGTTCTCTCACTGCGCTGGCGAACAGCAGGTTGAGGAGGGTATGGAAGAGGAGGGGAAGGAGGAGGCGGAGGAGGGGGAGGACGACAAGCTAGGTGCGCTTGCGTCTTATCTGACGTCCTACCATCCCTCCCATTGTTTACCATGGCGTAGACATCCTCTTTGTTCTCAGTCGGATGTGGACGCTTGGCGAAGCAGAAGATCGCATTGCATTCGGAACGTGCGGAAGGCCGAACATAAGGCCAGCGCTGCAGCGGGTGGGGAAAACACAAGTGAACAGCACACTCCCCCGAATCTTGTGCGCAAGAACACATCACGCGCGTGGAGTCGGAACGACTGGGAGTCTGACAATGAGGCCAGCGCTGCAGCGGGAGAAACATGTTGGAAGAACCGAGAACGTCTGGATTGGAACTCAGACGTTTGAAGTGCAGTTTCGTCTGATGCCTGTGTGCAAAAACACAGCTTGCGGGGGGAGCCAGCGATCTTCCGCACAGCCTCAGGGGAAGCAGGTGCGTAGTCGGAGGTTCAGGGGTCAGCCCGAAGTGAAACGGAGACCCTCTATACCGAGAAATTAATTTCGGGTTCGTGTCGTGCGTGCCGTGCGTGCGCGCGTGCGCGCGAGGCGAAGCTGCCTGGGCCGGGGCCGCGGCCAGACCAAAGGGAACTACCCCGGCAACCGGTGCCCCGCGGTGTCCCGCGAGTGTCCCAGGAAGTCCTCCTGTGGCTAGGCCGCGGCCGGACCAGAAGGAAGTATCCCAGCAAACGGTGCCACGCGGTGTCCCGCTGGTTTCCTGCTAGTGTCCCGCCGTGTGTTGCGCATTTACAAAATATCGCTTGCGGCAAGCCACGAGACTGAGATCTATCGTGAGATCTACTGGGTGATCGATCGTGAGATCGATCGTGATATCGAAAGTGAGATCCATAATGAGATCGATGTGATATCGACCGTGAGATCGATCGTGATATTGATCGTGAGATCGATCGTGAGATCGCCTATGGGATCGATAGTGATATCAATAGGGAGGTCGATCGTGAGATCGATTAGGAGATCAATGGTTATATCGATAGTGAGATCCATCGCACGATCGGGAATTACATCGACAGTAAGATCAATAATGAGATCGATGTGAGATCGATCGTGAGATCGATAGTGAGATCGATCACGAGATCGACTGTTGGGTCGATAGTGGGATCGATCGTGAGATCGTTCGTGAAATCGTTCGTGAGATCGATCATGACATCGATAGTGAGATCAATAATGAGACCGATGTGAGATCTATGGTGAACCCCACAGTGGGATCGATAGCGATCGATCGGGAGGTCGATCGATTGAGGTGTTGGGTCCTCCCCCCTCAACCTCCTTATCACACGAAGGGTGGTCGTATAGGTATTCATATTGAGTGCTTGTGGAGGTAGAGGAGGAAGAGGAGGAGGAGGAGGCGGAGGAGAAAAGGAGGAGGAGGAGGAGGAGTGGGAGGAGGACGAGGAGGAGAGGGAGGAAGAGGGGGAGAGGGAGGAGGAGGACGACGAGGAGGAAGAGGAGGAGGAGGAGGAGGAGAAGGGGCGCAAGAGGAGATGTAGGACGAGGCGGAGGAGGATGATGAGGAGGAGAAGAAGAAGCAGCATCAGAAGGACGAGGAGAAGGAGGGGGGCGAGGAGGAGGATGAGGAGGAGGAGGAGGAGTGAGGAGGGAAGAAGGGGAGCAGGAGGAGGCGAAGGAGGAGTAAGAAGAGGTGGAGGAGGAAGAGGAGCAGGAGGGAGGAGGAGGGGACGAGGAGAAGGAGTGAGTAGGAGGAGGAGGAGGAGGAGCAGGAGGAGGTGGAGGAGGTGGAGGAGGTGGAGGTGGAGGTGGAGGTGGAGGTGGTGGAGGAGGAGGAGGAGGAGGAGGAGGAGGAGGAGGAGGAGGAGAGGAGGAGGAGGAGGAGGAGGAGGAGGAGGAGGAGGAGGAGGAGGAGAAGAGGAGAAGAGGAGAAGAGGAGAAGAGGAGAAGAGGAGAAGAGGAGGAGGAGGATGATGATGATGATGATGAGGAGGAGGAGGAGGTGGATAAATCGCGGGAGGAGAAAGAGGAGGGAGTGGGGGAGGAGGAGGGGGAGGAGGAGGGGGAGGAGGCGGAGGAGAAAAGGAGGAGGAGGAGGAGGAGGAGGGGAGCAAGAGGAGGAGGATGAGGCGGAGGATGATGATGAGGAGGAGAAGAAGCGGAGATTACTCCCAAGGGAAAATAAAAAAACGCCCAAGGCAAAATAAAACACGCCACAGGCAAAATAAAACGTGTTTGCCTGCGGCGCTCCAGCCCCGTAGCCAGGTCTCGGCTGCACGACGCCCAAGGCAAAAAAAAGAGCGCCACAGGCAAAAAAAAATCCTGCCGCGCGCAAGGCCCTGCGGCCCGACGCCCAAGGCAAAAAAACAGAGCACCACAGGCAAAAAAAAAGTTTGGTCGCAAACCAAGACAGTGCGGTGGAGCCTAGCTTTGAGTGGGCCACACGGAGGGGAGCAGGGGAGCAGGGGAGCACCTCCCGCCCGCGCGGCGGCCTGCCGCCCAAGGCCCGGCGGCCGGACGCCCAAGGCGAAAAAAAGAACACCACAGGCAAAAAAAAATGGTTTGGTCGCAAACGAAGACAGTGTGGTGGAGCCCTGCTCTGTTCTGGGTAGAGTGGGCCACACGGAGGGGAGCAGGGGAGCACCCTCCCGCCCGCGCGGCGGCTTGACGCCCAAGGCCCAGCGGCCGGACTCCCAAGGCAAAACAAAGAGCACCACAGGCAAAAAAATGGTTTGGTCGCAAACCAAGACAGTGTGGTGGAGCCCTGCGCTGTTCTGGGTAGAGTGGGCCACACGGAGGGGAGCAGGGGAGCACCTCCCGCCCGCGCGGCGGCCGGACGCCCAAGGCAAAAAAAAGAGCACCACAGGCAACAAAAAAAAGTTGTGTTGCAAACCAAGACAGTGTGGTGGAGCCTAGCTTTGTTCTGGATAGAGTGGGCCACGCGGAGGAGAGCAGGGGAGCAGGGGAGCACCCTCCCGCCCGCGCAGCGGCTTGACGCCCAAGGCCCGGCGGCCGGACGCCCAAGGCAAAATAAAAACACCACAGGCAAAAAAAAAAGTTGTGTTGCAAACCAAAACAGCGTGGTGGAGCCTAGCTTTGTTCTGGGTAGATCAGGCCACGCAGAGGGGAGCAGGGGAGCACCCTCCCGCCCGCGCGGCGGCTTGACGCCCAAGGCCCAGCGGCGGGACGCCCAAGGCAAAAAAGAACACAGGCGAAAAAAAAAATTCGGTCGCAAACCAAAGCAATGTGGTGGAGCCTAGCTTTGTTCTGGATAGAGTGGGCCACACGGAGGGGAGCAGGGGAGCACCCTCCCGCCCGCGCAGCGGCTTGACGCCCAAGGCCCGGCGGCTGGACGCCCAAGGCCAAAAAACACAACACCACAGGCAAAAAAAAAGTTTGGTCGCAAACGAAGACAGTGCGGTGGAGCCTGGCTTTGTTCTGGGTAGAGTGGGCCACACGGAAGGGAGCAGGGGAGCAGGGGAGCACCTCCCGCCCGCGCGGCGGCTTGACGCCCAAGGCCCGGCGGCCGGACGCCCAAGGCGAAAAAAAAAGACCACTGGCAAAAAAATGGTTCTGTCGCAAACCAAGACACTGTGGTGGAGCCCTGCTCTGTTCTGGGTAGAGTGGGCCACACGGAGGGGAGCAGGGGAGCACCTCCCGCCCGCGCGGCGGCCGGACGCCCAAGGCAAAAAAAAGAGCACCACAGGCAAAAAAACAAGTTGTGTTGCAAACCAAGACAGTGTGGTGGAGCCCTGCCCCGTTCTGGGGGGATCAGGCCACACGGAGAGGAGCAGGGGAGCAGGGGAGCACCCTACCGCCAGCGCGGCGGTTTGACGCCCAAGGCCCGGCGGCCGGACGCCCAAGGCAAAATACAAACACCACAGGCAAAAAAACAAGTTGTGTTGCAAACCAAGACAGTGTGGTGGAGCCTAGCTTTGTTCTGGGTAGATCAGGCCACGCAGAGGGGAGCAGGGGAGCACCCTCCCGCCCGCGCGGCGGCTTGACGCCCAAGGCCCAGCGGCGGGACGCCCAAGGCAAAAAAAAACACAGGCGAAAAAAAAAGTTCGGTCGCAAACCAAAGCAATGTGGTGGAGCCTAGCTTTGTTCTGGATAGAGTGGGCCACACGGAGGGGAGCAGGGGAGCAGGGGAGCACCCTCCCGCCCGCGCAGCGGCTTGACGCCCAAGGCCCGGCGGCTGGACGCCCAAGGCAAAAAAACACAACACCACAGGCAAAAAAAAAGTTTGGTCGCAAACGAAGACAGTGCGGTGGAGCCTGGCTTTGTTCTGGGTAGAGTGGGCCACGCGGAGGGGAGCAGGGGAGCAGGGGAGCACCTCCCGCCCGCGCGGCGGCTTGACGCCCAAGGCCCGGCGGCCGGACGGCGAAAAAAAAACACCACAGGCAAAAAAATGGTTTGGTCGCAAACCAAGACAGTGTGGTGGAGCCCTGCTCTGTTCTCGGTAGAGTAGGCCACACGGAAGGGAGCAGGGGAGCAGGGGAGCACCCTCCCGCCCGCGCGGCGGCTTGACGCCCAAGGCCCAGCGGCCGGACGCCCAAGGCAAAAACAAAAAGCACCACAGGCAAAAAGAAGCCTGCCGCAAACCACTGTGGTGGAGCCCTGCTCTCTTCTGGGTGCCGGACGCCCAAGGCAAAAAACAGAGCACCACAGGGAAAAAAATGGTTTGGTCGCAAACCAAGACAGTGTGGTGGAGCCCTGCTCTGTTCTGGGTAGAGTAAGCCTCGCGGAGGGGAGCAGGGGAACACCGCCCGCACGGCGGCCTGACGCTCAAGGCCTGGCGGCCGGACGCCCAAGGCAAAGTAAAACACCACAGGCAAAAAAATGGTTTGGTCGCAAACCTAGACAGTGTGGTGGAGCCCTGCTTTCTTCTGGGTAGAGTGGGCCACACGGAGAGGAGCAGGGGAGCAGGGGAGCACCCTCCGCCTGCGCGGCGGCCAGGGGAGCACCCTCCCGCCCGCGCGGCGGCTTGACGCCCAAGGCCCAGCGGCCGGACGCCCAAGGCAAAA